TTAGAATTGTGAAATTAATAAATGTCACTCACACACGTCAAAATGTATATAAAAAAAAACCTGAGAGTGGGGCCTGAAGAACAGTAAGACTGAAAGGCAGATAAGCATGTGTACAGGAGTTCATAGGCAAGAATTACTGTTGAACAGTTATTGATGCAAAATATCTGCATATGCCCATATAAAGCAAAATACTTACAGTACGTGAGTTTTGGATTCAACTTTTTTCGATTAAAGATCCTTTATTTTCTGTTTTCATTCAGATAAGTGTGTGTGGTATTGCAACTACTGCATATATGCTTTATTGAAAAAGCTATTTACTGTGTAATAGCCACAAAAAGATTTCAGCCTGTGCTCATATTGAATAAATTTACTGTACAAATTTAATTGTGTTTTTATGCTTGACTGTAAATCAACAGTAGATTTAAGGATACAAAGTAAGGATAATCTTGCAAGTAAATGCAAGGGTATTAAGGGGAACTGTAATCACAGAAATAAAAACAGAAAAACAGAAATGTTTCAATGTGATGTACATGCAGAGTTAACAAGTAAATTGTATTTGTCAGCAAAACTTGTCTTGAAGTCTTGAGCAATATTTCTACTGGATTTAATTCACAAGCCTACTTGTTTACAATGTAATAGGGCCGCTTCACCTCATCAGAGGTTTGGTTGTCTTGTTCTGAATCAAAGAATATGGTGCTGGAAATTTGGTATACAGTATATTGTGATGTTAATTGAAGGTTTTAATGTTACTCTGTATATTTTACTTTCATTGTGGTTTGAAATGCCCCCATTAATGCCATTTCTTTCTAAACCCGAAATATAAAACTAGTGTTACTGTTCCCAATTAATCAGGGTACAGCTTGTGCTGAGTATCAGTAGCCTTTATCACATGGATTTTTTCTTAAATAAGAATCCCAAAGCTTATTGAAATGAGTATTAAGCATCGAGAATGCCAAACCTTGTAATGCAAGACCGGTTCCTTTTATCCAAGACATGCTGAATGCAGGAAGTATGGCTGATACTCAGCCCAATCAGAGACTTTGGAAATACAGTGAAGATAGGGAATGAAGAGCTGCATTGCGACTGGACCGCGAAACGTATCCCCGACACATGTCACAGAAATGCCACATTTTTTACTTATGTATAAGACGATTGTAGACCTTCAGGCAGACAGTATGAAAAAAAATCAGGGTCAGTCTCAGAGGTCACTGTATTCTTGCAAGTTCCATTACTGAATAAAATTAAAATAGGATGCATTAACATTGAAAAGTATATATAGCGAAGAACAATGCCATGAAAGTTGCATGGCAACTTGTGAAATGTGAGAATCTTAGGTAATTAGTGGAGTTTTAAATAACACCTTCACCACCTGAGTTTCCATGCTGCCCTCCTTGTTTCTCCTCCCATCTTGTGATGAAGCCACAAGCACATGGAGCCCTAGCTCAACCGCTCCTCTGGAGTCATGTTCCGCTCTTCCCTCTATTCCCATTTTTCCTCTCTCTCTGCCATTTTACTGTTCCTGTTGGGAATAAGAATAAATAAAAAACATTTTCATTTGCAGTTTGCTCTCAGTAGAAAAAGTCCTTAACCCTGTAACAATATTCGGCTTCTTCTTTCTTTCACCTGCTAGAACAAAAACAAACTCCAGCTTTCTTGTCAACAGCCAAACCCTGAATACCAGCCTGATTTGGAATCTGAATTTCTCCCCTGGCCTTCTAGTAAGCTCTTAATTTGGTTGGTTTCTTGATGTTCATCTCTGTCTCCCTAACCAGCTGCACCAGCAGCTCTCCCATTAGCTGAATTTGCATCTTGTCTTCTAAGCCAACGATGCCAGTCTGATCTAGACACGACTTGAAAACCACTTCCTTGTCAGAGTTACCATGTTGATGAAGCTCCAAATGGGACACAGCTCAGCTGATGTCAGATCTGGGTTCATCTTTCACAGCAGGAACATATGGAAACATACTGGCATCCAAGATGGAGTAGTGTCCGCCTGTGACTCTCCCCACCAGTGATAAGTGTCATAGATACTTGTCTGCAGAAGAAATAGTTTGCTGCCCCTTTTTTTCACTCATCATGCTCAGATTTCTCCACTCTTTCTGGCTGTCTCAGAAATATTTAATAAGGCTCTCATTACCTCACTGCAGCAGCTCCACTGCTTGGCTCCAATTCTGCACCCCAGCTTTCACCTTTCATCACCACCCACCTGCATCAAAGGAGACATTACATTACACACTTGGCTCCTGCTTGGCTCTGTTTCCCTTATCTTCAGTTTGAGCCTTTACCCATCTGCATCAATGAAGTCATCATGTGTCTCTCGTTTAAAAGGCATCACACGTTTTCAAAGAAATGGGATGAAACACTTAGCTCATATCAACCATCATTTCTCATTACCTTAAATTTTTGTCTATTGATCCTAAGCCTCGGGAACCTTGTAGAGTGTGCCAGCAATGCATTCTTTCAGTCTGTGAAATACAATAGAAAGGTTGAAAAGGCTCAGTTTTTGTCAACCTTAACTCCGATTTTTATGGAGTGTCTGAGTTCCATTCAGCATGGAGAAAACCTCCCATCCTTTAATTGTTCTCAATGCTAACCTTTTCAAACATTATTGTTACAAGCCAAGTTTCACTATATTACAATAATTGTCACCGCTTCCTCTCTCTGAAACCTGTATGCAATCCCTGTACAGCACGGACAAATCAACATTGTCAAACAAGGACTTGTTACTGTCCTACACCACTTCCATTAAACACCAACGATGCCTTCCAGACTTGATTTGGCACAGCATCACTCACTGCTCATCATATCATAATCAACATGTTTAAATCCCCTGAATGTGGTCTTTCAAAGTTATGGAGCATTAAAGCAAATCCCCTTTAAGTGTTGTCACCATATTCCACGTTCATATTCTGTCTTTACATTTTATAGAATGAAATGATATATCATTTGTGTTTGAGATCTACTTCTGTTTCATATCATCTGGTCCAACAGCCCCATCAGGAGGAGTTGCTTCTTCATTTTAATTACGGTTTGGCCTGACTACTATTATTCATATTCATATTCATCAGAAAAACCTTTTTGAATAAACTGAGTGCCTTGAAATATTGTTCCAGTTAGCCACGTTCATTACTTTATTTTTGAATCAGGTAGGATATTAGAAGACAATAGATCAAGTTAGTGACTTCATCTATTAAGCAAAAGCAATCACAGTTACAGTTTTTTTTTACTTTCTTTACACTTTAAAAATGCTATCGGTTGTTGTGATCTCTACATTGGGGCTATAAAAAATGATTTTTTTGGAGAAAAGAAAAAAAATATTATTTTCCCCAAACACAATGGAATAATAAACATTCCCCTCATGAGTCCTTACCCATAACCCCAGTGGTCCCCCGCTCTCATCCAAGTGCAACCTAAGGTCTCCAAATATACTAACAGCACTACAATGCTTTCTCTACTTCGGCATCAACAAACAATTATACTATTAATTTGTCAAATTATGCATCAAAATGCTAATTACTTTAAACTGAGAAATAACTCCATTACCTGTAAGTGTATGCAAATGGCTTGTTCACAGAATGAAAATATTCTGAGAGAATTTAATTGCTTATCCTTCATTCACAGATCACAGTATTTTTCATGCAGATGGAGTAAAAACATAACTGGAAAACAATAGATAGTGTCACTAATCACAACTAAGTGCCCTGCAAGATGTGTTGTTAAACCTAAATAATCAATACATACAAAAATGTCAGTCCCAGTTAGACACCTGATCCAAAGGTGTTAGTAATGTACTGCAAATCCCAATTGAAATCCCAATAAAGTCAAAGATGATTGCTGATGTGGTACAGTAATGTTGTAAGATCTCTTAAAAACAAATCCTACTTTAGTTAATGAGGAGTAAAGAACACACAAGAAATGCTCTTTTTTATCTTGTGTTGTTAGTGGTCATTTTCTCTGTTTCCTCTAAATTTTAATAAAGATGTTTTCTACCAATTCCATGTTGAAAAAAAATGGGTGCTATTCTTTGAGGTAATATATGTGCTTCCTTTAGATTTAATTTAACCACATTGTGTGTGAATTTTAGAAGGGCTTTGACAAACAAAGTAAACAAATGAAATGTACTTTTAATTTTCCTAGTATGAGTATCTAGATTTTGATTACTATATACAGTAGTTTATGTTGTATGCTATATGTTACCTTTCACAGGTGTATTTTTGTCATTGAATGTAATCAATTTCTTCAGTTAGTGACTCTTCTTATTTGAAACTAGTATTAAAATTAAGTGGAGGCAGGTCTTTATCATGCTGAATTGTGTTCATTAGTAAAATGAAAATCAGTGCTACTGTAGTTATTGTTTCAGAATCTAACCTACCTACTGTTTTGACGTATTTGCTAATTAATTCCACAGAATATTGTGCAAGAATGTGCAATTCAGCTCAACCAACAGTAGTCTTTCAGTGTAGGTAAGAAGTGGGAAATTAGAGCTTTACAAATACAATTCACCTTTTCCAAGACACATGAAATGGTTTTAGAAAACCTACAAAAAAATAACCTACATTTCTGCTCCATAGTAATTTCTAAAAAACAGTTCTTGGTTTATAACTCTTGCGTCATGCTCAATGCCTGTATACAGTTACCAAGCCAATTTTTTTGCCACATTTGAGGTTTTGCTACAGTTGTTTTAAATGATAAAGTATCCCTATCCTTCTGATTATGAAGAAATGTCATTATTTCTAAAATGTTTCCCATGTACAGTACAGTACGGTATGTACAGTATACTGTAGTACTTTAAAGATGTCATTTTCCATGATTTATTTCAGACACAATTGGGATAATTTTGTTCCCTCTGCATTAATAATTTTGAGCTCTCAGGTTTTGAATGAATAACAAATCAAGCTAGCCTGAATTTGTCTGGTTAAGTCTAATAACAGAGTTAAGAAACTCTATTTAAATATTAAATTAAATAGTATAAAATCTATTATTTGCTGTTTCTTTTTCAGATCTGCATATTGGAACGACAAATATTTGATTTCCTTGGTTACCAGTGGGCTCCAATCCTTACGAACTTTGTCCATATTATTACAGTGATTCTTGGCCTCTTTGGAACAGTTCAGTTCAGACCACGATACGTGACAGGGGTAAGTAGAGTATGATTTATGGTCAGATTTCATACTGTTAATTGAAGAAATTATAAGAAATATCTGCATCTTTTAGCAGTCTACAAGCCAGAGAGTTATTAATAATTTTTGAGTCCAAACATTGTAAACAAGACACATCTACAGTTTGTGTACTGTATTTCTCTTAAATAAAACCACTGTACTTGTATCATAATGTAATAATCTGCCCCTCCCCTGGACAGAATCTGGGAGGAAGAGTCTCTGCTCCCTACAACTCACACTGTTCCCCTCCCTGAACCTCCTGTCAGATGTGACTGATCAGCCCACAGCCCCCTGGTCCTTAAAGAGCAGTGAGGAGATTCTCTTTCCTCAAATTAGCTTTATTGCAGTAGTATCACTCCAGATCTAGGAATGCTTGCTGTTGGACAAAAATAGTTTTATTCACTCCTCACTTCAACATTTTATAGTGCACAAACTCAAATACTGTGCCTACAGCCAAATCAGTGCTACTATTTTGGCATTTTAGATTGGACTGTTGATTAAAAAATAATGTGGCTTAATTGACTGTCAAGGGTCTTAATATTAAAAAGATGTGACTAAATATTATTATTGTTTTTTTCATTATGTACTTCATTTGTGAACTTTGTCTATAACTGCTACGTATCTATCTTTACATTTGCACTGAATGTCTATGTATCATGAAGCAATGTGCACGTAATAAATCTGACGTCTGATACTGCTGTATAATTCCATAAATTCATAATAATCATAAACATTGCGTTTCTTGAAAAGAGTAGGGGTTGTTACCCTGGAGCCCTGGCCAAATTTCCCCCTGGCCTTTACCAATCATGACCTTCTATTAATCCCCATCTCTGAACTGACTTCATCACTCTGTTCTCCTCCCCACTGAGACATGGATCTTGAAGTTGACACAAAACCTGACAGGAAGAATAGAAGTAATGTTAAGTGCTTTCATAATCTTATGAATGTAATCACAAATTCATAATCTTCCTTTTTCTCTTTTCTCAATAAATGGATCTTGCAGACATTTTGTAATTTGAAAAGAAAGACAGTAACAGTTGGTAAACTGAATATTAAGAAAATAAATCTGCTGTTTTGGTATATATGATTTTCCACTGACACCTCACTTCAGTCATTTGTGCCATAAACAGGTTTCAGAGGGACTCAAATTTATTACATTAGTTATGTATGGCTTGAAAAATGAAAGCTACTCATCAGAACACAAGCAAAATAACAAATCATAACCTGAATTGTTATCGTCTTTTACAAAACATTGCAACATAGTCAGAAATAAAATGAGTCCTGCTCGTAATGAAATTGAAAGGTTTTCCAAAACAACATGAAATTATTATTTTACAAAAAAAATACTGAATCTTCCTCAAGCTGCTGAAGTTTCCTCAGAATAAAAACATACAGTATCTGTAAGTGTGATAAGATGAAGTTCTTTATGTGTATTGACAGAAAATAGTATAATATTCAGATATTTAATTACACTCAAATGTTTTTAATTAAAATATATTATTTTTAATTTAAAATATTATCATCTATAATGTTTGTGCCTCACAGGAAAGTGTTCCATAACAAACACCTGGAACAAAAAAGATGCAATAGAACCTTAATTATTTATTTATTGGCTATAATAAAAGTTATATATATAATTTTTTTTATCAGTATCTAAATAAAATGATTACAGAAAAAAATGATTTTTTAATGCCATTACTCATTACTGAATAACATTTAACACTTGATTAGCATGCTGGTAGAAGATGCATGCTACAACCCAATGATCTGCACGTGCAGCAATCAAAGGTGTGAGTATTTTAGAATCTATGCACATAACACACTGCTCACATTTAAAGAGAATGAAAACACCACTCCTCATCTCTATTCTCATGTTGACTTCAGAAGCTGGCATAACCCTGTTTCAGGTAGCTGGAGATCATCATTTTACTTTTTACTGACTTTTAATTGTGACTTTTTACTGCCAACATACAAACACTGTCATCCCAAAAATGTAACATTGCCATGTCAGAATTGCACCATTGTCCATTCTTATTTACTTGATCATTTTCACTAATTTCTACTACACTGGAGACCTGTGTCTATTAGTGCTATACAGAGCAAGCCAACCCACATCTGAATCCTAGATTTAGGTACTGTAGCAACAGGTCAAGTAAGGTCTGTAACCAGAGACCAGCTGTGTGATGCAGGTTCGAACAGCTTCTGAAACATGTGATATACAGTAGTATGTCTTTATGAGGAACATCTTTCTTTGAATGGGTCTGTGCAGTTTAGATATCATCAATGGCTGTTTTATCTTGGGGAGGTGAGAAAAGTCTAGAGCACAAATCGGAAATGCAGCATAACAATGCATTATTTACCTGAGTACTTAACATTAGATTAGCTGACCTTCACAGAGGAAGTTAGTAGGTCTTACACTGTACATCATGCCAGAAATTCAAAAAGGAGAGATGTGCTCACTAGTCTACTTAACACTGTAGTAACCATGGGGAGCTCTGGCCAGACGAGATGCTGTGGCTCTTGAATGGAGATGGCCATTTCTATCATTTCTATCTATACTGATGTCCATTGAGGGAAATGGGTCTTCTGTGTGGCAGCACAAAAAGTAGATAAGTTAAATTAGAGCAAAACATTTATTTTAATAATGAAGCAAACAAACACCACAGAGGAAACTAGTTATCACATTTCGTTCTGAAGCTCATTCTCTGGGATCAAATGAGATCTTTGAATTAATAAGCTGCCTGAGATGCTTGGTTCAGTAACCAAATTGGTAAAACAGGTCAAATGTTCTTATGTTTCTTTTGAGGTTGTTAGACTGGCATAACCTGCTAATACAACTGTAATTAAAATTGCTGAATGTGAATACAGCACTGGGGATCATAAATGTGTTCATCCATGGGTATGCTCTAGTGATGTTGTGTGGAGCATCTGTAGTGGAGGATGCAGATGTCAGATTAATCTTTTGTGAAACTGGGGATTTTCCACAGGAAAAAAAGCCAAATTGTCATTACCCCAAAAAGCTCTACTCCCCACCTCAGCACTGTATGCACCATCCATATCCAATCATTTCCTGTATTTAAAAAGTTTGTTTACTTGATTGGGATGATACAGACCCCTGTACAGCACTAAATCTGTAGAGAAAAAGCACTTTTGAAGTGTTTTGGAATCAAATAAGATTTTCAGAACACATTTTTGAGGGAGTGTTTGCTTTACCATTTCTGTCCACGATTTTCTCCTACACAACTGGTAAAAGTATGATTGATTGCACAGATATTATTCTTTTTGAAAACCTTTGGTATCAAAACTTTATTGACTGAAACAGCTTAGAAATGTGTGAATCCAAGAGGGGAAAGAAATAATCCGGATTTATATGAAACACGTTGACAGCCTGTCTTTTCAACAGGAAAGTACGGAGATCTATATAAATCCACACGTTTCTTACCAGTTTGGTTTTGCTGTAAATATATTGGTGGTCTAAATCATGATTTTGTAAACCTCATGTCATTTCTGACAGACAGAATATATTAACTTTATATATTATTTTACAGAGTGATTATATCGCATCGATGCAGACACATACAAGATCTTTCTAGAAAGTTAAATGGCTTTCTGTCTAACATTACCCTTGCTGATGTCAGTTTTAGAGATGCTGTCAGTGCAAATGAATTTTTATTCTAATTTAATGTGGCGCTTTCTGGTAGGTGGAGAAGTGCCAAATGAAGTTCCGCTACACACTCCCATCCTCTGTGTCTAATGCCCTGACAACATGTCAAATTCAGTGACAGTAAAAACCCCTCTGTACAGTGCCCTTTCTGAATGGTCTGTTGAATTCAGTAGAACAGTATTCTTGATTCTTTTCAAGTATGGGAATTCATATGTATAGTATATCATTGCATATTCATGGAAAAAAATAACAAATTTAAAAGAATTTAAAGATCTCGAATATGAAACATTTTCACCAGGGCATATATGTGAGGGAAGTCACGGACGCTGCCCTCTCTTCACTCCAGGGTGTTTGGTACATCCCTTATTATGCATTGGTAGCTCTAAACTATTCAGCACTGCTCTAGCTGAAAAAGAAATCATTAAAATACTAACCTTAACTCATCCCTACAGGGTGTTATGGATTTATTGAATCCAATTTGCAACATTTGGTCCAGAAAAATGTTTTTTTTTTTTACATGAATCTGAATCTAAGAGCTGGTCTTCCGAATCAGGTAACAGGTCTTGACACTGGCCATCCTGGGCAAACTGTAGCCAGCCATGAAACAACCAAACTTTCCAGATATACAGATAAATGGAGAGTGGTGCTCTGTCTCTGTGGACTCGTACACGGTCTCCTGCTGCTTTATTTAACTGTCAAAATCTGAAATGGAAATTGTCTACTTAATGTTTGGTGCAACATGTAATGATAATGTTTTTTTTTCTGTGTCCCTCTTTTATCTTCTCGTTCTCGAATCATTAACTGAATAAAGAATCTGTGCTGCATTTTTATTGCCTCAGCCCTCCTGTGGGACACATGGTATCCTTTAACAAGAGAATAAGAGAGAAATTTTATTTTAAGAAATTATCCTGTGAGTTTGTGTATTAAGAATTGCAGGTACGCTATTAGCTATCCCGTGTCTATACAGTTTATTATGTATGTACTGTAATATCTAAAGCAAACACACCACCCTTTAATTTAGCCTGGTGAGGTACAGTATATACATACAGCAGTTAAAACTAAAGAGCAGAGCAATGATCCCAAATGCAAGAAAGAAGACTAAACACAGAACAAACTACCAGAAAGATAGCAGAATGAGTCATTTTGCTTTGAGTGGGTTATTATTGACAAACACAAAGAAGCAAGAAAAGAACTACCACAATTAGCTCCAGCTGTGGAATATCAAGCACAATGACTGCAGAACGTGTTAGAAGAATCATTCAAGCAACAAGTTAAAAACCCAAATTTACAACACAAGACCTGACACAAAAATGCA